AGTCTTACAACGAATTGTTGAATGAATATTCGAATGCACACTTTTGGAAAAAAATAAAATTAAAAAAACATGCGGTTTTTATTTATTTGCTTAACTCCGATACTAATGTGTTGCCTACATACTTAAATCATTTCATAGCTATAAAAAAAATTAACAAAATATTTTGATGAATAAAATAACATACTAAGAGCACATTACATTATTTTGTCCATTAAGAAATTTTAATTTTTAAACATAAATCTATGTAAAGAACTTGATTTGAATTCCAAAAAATGAATACAATGAAATTCACGTTTTACGATTTTCCTAATTCTGAATGAAGAATAAATATGCACAGAATATCAAAATTTGTTGCAAACACATTCAACCTTTTTAAATCTGACATCGCTTTCATTCTTGATTCGCCATCTGCATTTTACCTAATACAACGCTTATAAATTATTCAAAAAACAAAGAAGTAAAGACAATGTGTTTTAACATAAACAGATGTTTGATAAATGTTTTCAATTTTTGTCTCGTTCAAGAAGAATTGCATATTTAACCCGTGATCACTCGCGTGGGGTGTTCTGTACACCCCACCAACAAGAAAATCCTCCCAGGATTCTAAAAAGAATGCGCAGAACCACGATTTTTTCCGTAGCTGCATATTTTATGTTATTGAACCTTCAGGCCTGATGTAATCCCTCTTTCTCGAACGATTGGAATGTAATAACCTTCAAAAGTTTATCTGGGGGCTGAGAACTCCCGCGAAAAGTTGAACATATGTATACAGTCTGCTCTGAATGTTTGGAAAATGATTAAAATATTATTTTTCTACTTTCAACTATCATTATATCTCATTAATTATAAAGTATATTTATTACTGGTATATACATTTTACTGGTTTATGAAAAAATATGAAATTATCTGTTTTAAAATGAAAATTTTGTATGTTTAGTTTAAATTAATGTTAGTCTCATTTGTATGCAATAAATTTAATAATTTTATTTGTATAATGCAAAAAACATCTTGTACTTTATAAATACGTATCCTAATGACACAATTTTATTTTCATAATTAAATACACGTGTTAAAGAGTTTGGGGTGTTCTCTACACCCCGCGAGTAACGACGGTAGCAAAAACAGGCGCGAGTGACCGCAGGTTAAATAAGAAAAGAAGAACAGAAAGTAATTTTAAATAATAACATTTGAGACTCTTCAAATACCTGTTGCAACCAATAATAATCCTAAAGATTAAAAATACATGTATAGTACCAAATAATAGGAACAGCCATTTATAAATCAGTCGTCATTCTCAACCGCTCAATAAAAGGTCGCGAAGTGTTGCAACAGTGTAGTGGCGGCGAATGGGGAGGCATCAGTCAAGCATTTGACAGAGTGAGAGTTGGATAAAAAACATTCTATTCTTAGCAGAGCGTGATTATGTCCGACCTATCCGAAGTGAAAAAAGGAACAGTCAACCTTGTAGATGTTTCACGGACCGATGTATCAAAGGTTATAACAGACTACACAAACCTGGGTAAGGCATCTTCTCGTTGAAGCACAGCAGTGGGCAAAGTCGTAGTTGTAGAACCGTGACAGACGGGTGTTGAAGAGGATAGTCACCAGAAAGCGCAAGACTGTGTGATACGGTCGATCTTTGTCGACCATATCTTTGTGGGTCAGCGTAAGTTAGAGGTGTGGGATTCTCGAAATGAAGAGACATTTTAGAATTCTTAATATGACTTTTTCAAGAGTTTAACTTAAATTACTTATATATTGAACAAACTTATATTAAGTGAGAATAAACCAAAACACGTAGCCGTAACTAGAACAGATCGCGCAATTGGATCACTTATCTAAATAATTATATTATCCGCCTACCCTCAATCCTAGTAATATTACGAATTCGAAAAATAATCTTCCTACCTTGAATTCCACGCAACGGTTCAAACACCTTCAGATAGGCTGTTGGGCTCGCGTGCAATAGTATGCCCCTTGTAGTAATGGCTAGATATTCGTGATTCCTTGGTAAGCTGTCAGATTACACTTCTACCTTTTCCTAACAGAACTTTCTCTAAATTGCCATCCCGCTTACTAAAACTTCTGTCCTTTTAAAGGCTTTCTTATTTGCATCTATACTTTCATTTCACTTCTTGGATTTGGGTTGGAAAAGATTTGCCATTAATCTTGGCCGTCAAAGAACCCAGAGGTTATGTTACAGAAAGGACGCGTGAGCCGTCACAACTGCACTGCTTCATATAGAACAATGTCCACCTTCAGAAACCTGTATCCATGAAAACTATTCAACGAGAGCTGCATGCTGCGAACATTCATGGCAGAATAGCTATTCCGAAGCCGTTATTTTTGGCTTGGAATGCTATGAAAAGACTAGAGTGGTGCCGAGACCATCTAAGCAGGACACAATTGCAATGGAAACAAATCATCTGGTCTGATGAATCCTCTTTTACATAATTCCAGACCATTGGACGTGTGCTCGTCTGACAAAAATTGGTAGAAGATCAGTCGAACCTCTATAAAGCGAATTTTTCTATGTAGTGAACTTTTTCCTGGAACCTTAAACAATTCACGATTTTCTTCGTAATATAACCTCTCTACAGAGAAGTGCATTTTCTATATAGCGAACTTTTTCTCTTGTGATTCAATTTTTGTTCTTCCTATTTTTTTTAAAGTATTTCTGAAAAGATTTCAAGTTATTCTCTCTTTAACACATTTTATGGGGGGTCATAAATCTTGAACTGGTTTTATTAGATCCTAACTCACCGAGAGTAATAGAGTTCTGGAAGTTTCATCCAAGAAGTACAACCCTTAACCCCCATTGACCAATTCACTAGAAACATCTTCGATATCCTCTTTCACCCTCAGTGGAGTTACTTTAAATTATAAAACGTCCTTAAAATTCATTAATTTTAGTATAAAATTATTTTCTTAATATTGAAAATACAGTGAATTCGACATTCCTTTTTCTTGTTTTCATTTGCAGTTTTTCTTTGCACTTCTTGGATGAAACGTCTGAGCTCTATTGCTCTCGGCGAATTAGGATCTAATAAAACCAGTTCAAGATTTATAACCACCATAAAATGTATTAAAGGGAGAATAACTTGAAATATTTTCAGAAACACTTTAAAAAAAAGGAGAACAAAAATTGAATCACAAAAGAAAGAGTTCGTTATATAGAAAATGCACTTCACTATAGAGAGTTTATTTTTCGAAGTAAATCGTGAAATGTGCAAGGTTCCAGGAAAAGGTTCGCTGTACAGAAAAATTCGCTATTTAGAGGTTCGTTATATAGAGGTTCGACTGTATTTATCTTCGTGAGAGAAAAGGATATCCTTAATATCCTTAACCGGGGTGAAATCCCTTACGCCAGTTAAGGATATACTGATAGAAATAATAGTATTTAAAATTTATTTCATTAAGATGTCCGACTACGTTCGGAACCGTGATTTTATAAAAGCGCACACATGGATAATTTTCATGATATTTAGTGTCACTTAGATTAGACTACATGAATAAAATTGTTTTATATAAGGACATCTTGACAAAAAAAATTATTTAAATACAATACTTTGGCAAAAAATTAACTTAGAATAATTTTTTTTTTCAAAATGTTCTCCTTTTGTGAAAAATGCTTCTATTATAATAATATTTTGCCTGTATATAGCTCAAACCTCTTTACTCATTTATGGCTCAACTATGATTTTTGAAAAAAATTGTTTAAAAAATGAAGTTAATTTTTTGCCGAAATATTGTACTTAAATAATTTTTTATTGTAATACTATTCTTAAAACAATTTTATATACATTTTCTAATCTAAGTGACACTAAATATCATAAATATTATCCATTTATACGCTTTTGCAAAATCACGGTTCCGAACATAGTCGGATACCTTAATTTACAATCACTTTAATATATAACAACTTTCTTAAAAGAAAGTTATTTTATCACCCTGTTTACCTTTCAAGTCCACAATCAGCAAATTTCCGTTTCGAGTGGTCAATCAATCCATTATTAAAGAAATGCAAAACTGAAAAGCCCATTACGATATCCGCATGTTTATCCAAGTGTGTATTCACTACGGAGACTTGATTCTCCCCATAATAAACCATTCACCACCACCCATTCAAAGGGAATGGTGAACGATTTTAATTCCGGCTCTCACAACGCATTCAATTACGGCCAGTCGGTTATTGGGAGGTGGAGTTAGATCCTGTCGATGGCGCGTTAATGAATTTCAAAAGCAAAATTGCGGAGACGATTGATTCTGCCAAATAGGAAATGATAAAGACTCCACTCCGGAGGGAAATTCGGAAATGATTAGGAGGAGATGCGATCATTAATGTTATTAAATGCAAGTGTCGAAAAGATTCGTTTCAAATTATTTGTATTAAATTTTATCAACATTATTTTCATTCTGCAGTAATCCACGGAATTTACGTGATAACTGGGACTGATTGATAAACACGTAAAAGTCTGGGTATATAATTTCGCCTATAAATATATATAAGTTAATTTTTAGTTTGGACCAGTGGCGCACACAAGAAGGTGTCCTAGGGGTCCGGACACACACACATCACATAGCCCTTGATTTTTGAAGATATACTTCTTTTGGGGCGTTAGAGAAATAGGATGAGGGTAAATTTTTACAATGCGCGCGCACCCCGTCACGGATGAGACGCCAAACCGTAACGGATGCGAAAATCCTTTGTCTACAAATATACAGAGCGGAACAAATCACTCCCGCCTTCGAAATTCTCAGAAAAATATTTCTCTTCACTTCCCAGAAGACGGGGACACCCGGGTTTGAACCGGAGGCCTCTCGATCTGCAGCCGAATGCTCTACCACTGAGCTATACACCCGCGTCTGCGAACCTTTGCTTTGTGTTCCGTAGGAACGTATACGAAAATGCTTTGTCTAGAAACATATACAGAACGGGACAGATCACTGCCACCTTCGAAATTCTCAGAAAAAATTATTTCTCTTCAATTCCCTGAAAATGGGGTTACCCGGGTTTAAAAACCGGGGACATTTCCGATCTGCAGTCGAATGCTCTACCACTGAGCTATACACCCCGTTTCAGAGAGCCTTAGCTTTGCTTTCCGTAGGAACGGATATGAAAATGCTTTGTCTAGAAATATACAGAATGGGACAGATCATTCCCGCCTTCAAAATCCTCAAAAGAAATTTTCTCTTCACTTCTCTGAAGAAGAAAACTCCCGGGTTTGAACCGGGGACCACTCGATCTGCAGTCAAATGCTCTTCTGCTGAGCTATCCCTTCGCGTCAGCGAACCTTTGCTTTGCGTTCCATAGGAACGGATACGAAAATGCCTTGTCTAGAAATATGCAGAATGGCCCAGATTATTCCCGCCTTCTACCCCCCTCCCCATATTATTGGTTCTATTGTCCCTGTGCGGGGGTGTTTAAATTTATTTAAATCGTGATTATCTCAGATTTGGCTGGTCCGATTAACTGAAGGTTAGTATCGTTCAACTCTGCTCGTGACCGCCTTTCGACCTTGGCCCAGCTTTCCCTGCTAAAGATTTTTAGAAAGATTTTAATCTTGTTACGCCAAAGAAGTATAACTTCTTACGTGCGTACATAAGTATGTGACATAGCCATCTGTCGATAGCTATGACGTGTTGGATCCGCGTAAGTTAGAGGTGTGGGATTATCGAAAGGAAGAGACATTTTATAATTCTTAATACAACTTTTATTAAGAATATAACTTAAATTACTTATATATAAGAACAACTAATATTAAGTGAGAATAAACCACAAAATAGGCCGAATATTTAAGTCAGATCGCACAACTAGATCACTTATCCTAAGTATAGTTAATTATCTGCCTAATCTAGCTTTCTATATTATAATTTTATTTAGAAAGTAACCCTCCTACCTTGGTTGAAGACTCATCTATTCTGCTTCTTGTAAATAGTTAGATGTACTCATGTACAATTACTCATCCTTATGAATATTATTATCGAAGGTGGACGTTTCCTTCTTCCTTGTGAGTAGGCCGTCTAACACTTGTTCCGAACTGTTCCACACTAAGCTTTCTCTAAGATTGCCATCCCTCTCACTAAACATTCTATCCTTTTAAAGTATATCTTATTTGCATTTTTGCTTTGTTTCTCTTCTTGGTATTGGGTTGGAAAAGTTTTGCCATTAATCGTGGCCGTCAAAGAACGTAGGAGTTATGTTAGAAGAAGAACGCGAGAGATGTTACAAGTACACAGACATTTTTTTCGATTAGTTATGATCCAATTATGTATTTGTTATTAATAATTAATTTTATTAATTAATGCCAATTATTTGCTCATTAATTCATTTGGTATTGTTTTTGCTCCCAAAAATCGACAAAATAAAAGCATATGTTGGGCGGTGTATTGGAGCGTGATACCAAAATGGTGGAACTGGTTCAAAGAACTTTTGAGTACCGTATTTCATACTTATAAACGATCAACTAATCATAATTCTATAGAATACCTAGTTAAATCGTTAATTCAATAATCTTATATACTTAAACTGACTTATATATATATATATATATTGGCTTATTCTCTACAAACAAGAGATAACATCCACATATGAGTAACCGAGATTAAAAATTATAAAATGGATGCTGCAGTGTTATAAACATTGCTAACTTAGGACAGCTAATATAAAAAATAATTTATATAAAAGTGGGGTTGAACATGTTTTTTGGCCAGCCAACCTTCCCTCTTTATGTAAATAAAAATGAGCAAAAACCAATAAAAAATAATGGATAGGAATATCTAAATCCATTACAAGATAGAGGCAAATTACCTAAAAATTGCACTTACAAATGCAAAGCCCGCGCTAAATCTGAGTGCAATAAATAAGTTATTGCCAGATTCTGGACCCTAATGCATATTTAAATCATGTGAAGAGCTGAAATGTAGCACTTAACAAAAGTATAAAAAGAATGGAAATAAAATTAATAAGAGTTGCAAACTATAGCATAACTTTAATAACACTAGAGCAAATATGAATAAAATAATAATAAGTAATTTTATCTAATATTAGATTATGGAGATAACTATAACTATGAAATATTTAAGTTAATAGTAATAAACTATTATGAATCTCAGAATTTTTAATCCTAACTATTTTAAATAGCTATATATATAATTTGAATATATATAGTTATTTCACATGAAATATCTAGTTATTCTATGAAATAACGGATTTCACACTTTAACGGTATCATATATAAAGATTCCAGCTTAGTTTCAAAATTACGGATTCTTCCCAAATCAGTAACATAATACGATTTATATTAGATTGTACGTTCTTGTATATAAGTTAACAACGGCAAACATTTTCTTAAAAATTCTTAAGACTTTGGAAGTTTTTATATATTCCTAGCTTCGAAACTTGCAATAAAGCTATATGACAATTGTCGTTACTTTGCAATTGTTGTTACTTATTTTCACTAAAGTTATTTCAGGGTTAATATATTTGAAGAGATATGAGGTTTTTTTCTAATTTAAATACCAATTTAGGGATATTTATAGAACTTTTTTTTAATGGATTAAAACGTGTTGTACATATTATGCACAAGAAAAGGAAAGATACTGTATTATTTAAATTTTTTTTTACACAACGGCTTCAAAATATCGCAAGATTATGTACAAATATCTCATGCACAAAAACAAAAACTTTAGTTACATTTTTCTGGATATAAATATTGATATCTATAACAATAAAATTTTCTTACCTGGCGGCAGCACGACACTTTTGACGTCTAGGGATGGAATGTACTGCAGAACGTACCAGCACGATCTCCAAGCCGTTTCACCAGCCGGTACAGCAGGCCAACACAGAACAGAATCCCACACAGGTTCGCAGTAAGGTTCATCTAAAAAAATAGACAAATCTTAAAAAACTAGAATTTAATAATGCGCGAGTGCATTTTTTTCCCTCCAAGAAAGGAATTTACTATTTATTGTTTTTCTTTTTAAGAACTGGCTAGAGTAAATTTTCTAATAGTTTATGTCTCAAATTTATAATTTGAACTTATTTGTTTCTTCCACAGATATTTCCAGAATCTCTTGATAAGCATATACTTAATAGCGTGCTTCGTTAGAATCATTTATCTTGCAAACAAACATTATAAATGCTTTTTTACGATTTAAAAATGAAGGAATTTATTTTCAATTGTGGCTTTGTACAGACCCAACTTCATTTTATCATACAGAAATAACAACAAATCTCCCAAGATGTAAAAAATTTTTAAAAACTTAAAAGAAAGGTAAAATCTAAAAGGGGTCCCAATTATCAAAACTATAATGGTATGGTTTTTTGTTTCAGAAAAAGAAATATCTTTAAAAGCCTTTTTTATATTTGATCTACACTCGGCACAACAGACATTAATTTTTTTAAAAATTTTGGGAAATTTTAAATTTCTTCACACTTTCTTTTTTCACACGAGTCGTGCCGCACTTTAACAAAAGGGAAAGAAAATGGGAAAAGGAGTTTTGAATAGAAATCACCTGGGTCTTTTCACACGTGGTCAACTGGCCCTTCCTGCTGTAAAGCTCTTGAAAGCTATGTTGCCTCTTTCACTAGTTGACTCAACAAAAAGGATATTGTAGAAGCTACGCTCTTCACACGTGGATACTTGTGTATTAAAAATGGAGAACATTTTTATTGCTTTTCCCAGCCCTAAATTTTTTCCATGGTACTGATCCCTTTGCATCACTGAATAGAACTAATTTAACTCTTAATTTATTTGTTGTCGTTTGGCAACACTTATTATCATTCTATATTACCTTTCTGTAGAACATCGTATGTGTTACAATGTATCTCATTTATTTTATCGAGTAACAAACAACATTAAAGCTCATTTACTATTTTATGAGATGTGGAACATCGTTTTAACTAAAAGCGACAACATTCTGAACACGCATCATTCAAATTTAATGTCTTTCTCTAACCCATTTTACCTTCATCAAAGTATCAATAGGACTGTGTTCTTTGCTAAGGGCACTCACTCACTATTCAATCAACTTTGTGTTCTCGTGTGAAAGTGATTCCCTTCCCTTTCACACTAGATGAGTGGTGATAGGAAACGAGTTGATTAGCACAAAGTTACCTCGTGTGAAACCTCCCAAAGCGCTCATAGTCAACTGGCATTTCCTGTTGTGAAGCACTCGAAAGTTATGCTTTTCTCTAGCTGACTCAACGAAAAGGATATTGTGGAAGCTACGCTCTTCACACGTGGCTATTTGTGTATTGAAAATGAAGAAAGCTTTTTATTGCTTCTTCAGACTCAATCAGGGTACCAATAGGATTGTGAGCTTCACTACAGTCAACTTTGTGTCCACGTGATAAAACAATTCTCTTTCCTCCTCATACTAGATGAGTGGCGACAAAAAACGAGTTGTCTAGTACAAAGTGATACCGCCCAAAAAGCATCTCACATTAAACGAAACTTATTCAGTATCGTCCTTAAACAATATTTTAGTATTAATTGCATCTTTGAATGGTTTATTCTTAACTTCAGTCGTTTGATGAATAAAATCCTCTTCGCTGCGCTTTTCAGAAATTCACACCAATGAATTGGGCACCGTATTAAATATTCATGAGAATCGTATTTTAAATTCAAATTATTCCTATCAACATTCCTAAGTCACTCCTACTTTAGCAAATAAGAGATAAATCTTTAAGAATGGTCCTGAAATTCATTTACGGCTACGGAAAGACAATTCTAGAAATATTTCTTGAAGGCATTCGGTTTTGCTTTCGAAATTGTCATAGATTTCTTTTCTGTTTGTTTTCCACGTACTTTTGATTTCAAAAAAGTATATAATTTTTTTTTTACAAAAAAAAAATAAAATAATTTTATTTAAAATTTTAAATTTTTAAAATTTTTTTTAATTTTCCAGGATTAAAATTTTGACGGGCTTTTTTTTAGTACAGATAATAAGTTAAAAGGGTTTTATGGATCAAATTTAAAACATAATTATTTTATATTAAATATAGCTTTAATTTTTTAAACAAGAAATACATTTCTCACTCTCTCTCTCTTTCTATATATATATAGTTT